TTCTTACTAAAGAGAGCCAGTTTGGTCTAGTCCAGGGGTAGGCAACCTTGGCTCTTTTATGACTCGTGGGCTTCAACTCCCAGAATTCCTGCGCTGGCTGGCTCAGGAATTCTGGGAGTTGTAGTCCACGGGTCATAAAAGAGCCAAGGTTGCCTACCCCAGGTCTAGTCTCCTGCTAGAAACCAGGAGACTGTGACTTGTAGTTCTGTCTTAGGCATGAAGGCTGGCTGGGTGACTTTGGGCCAGTGCCTCTGTCTCAACCCAGTCTACCTTGCAGGGCTGTTATTTTGGGGAAAATAAGGAAGGAGTTTGTTGCCTTGAGTTATTTATACAAATTATAAAGGTGGCATATAAAATAAATAAAACAAGACAAATCTAAATGTTAAAAAAAATCTTTTGACGAGAATGTTCTCAGTCCATAGAGTTTCATTTGCCATTCCACTGAGAAATTAAATCCAAGGTCAAACCAGATACACAACCTTAAATTAAGATTTCCAGTGTCCACTTAAACTTTAGCTGGAAAAGAGCCAAGCCACCTTCCTTAAGGGAGATAACCACAAGAATGAGAAAACCTGCTGTTTATACAGATCTGCCGATCCTGAATGTGGTCTATAGTACCAGCAAGTCCTCTAATGTTGGGTATTATTCAGCCAAGATACATAACCCTGATCCCAGGTTAGGAAAGCACAGTTGCACATGATATGCCTGGCATATGATGGCTTAAGATGTCCATGATGCCACAACATTCTAAAACTATGGCTAGGTTGCCATAATGGGCTGGGTGATAAACTACCTAAAACTCAATTTAGCTTTTACTAGTGTGTTGTGTCTCCATCTGAACACCAGGTTCAACAGTCTCCCAAAAGTGCTGCTGACTCACAGCCAAGATCAAACAAGGCACCTTTGGTTTTTAAATAGTGTCCCTCAGCCTATCTATCTAAAATAATCTAGAAGTTCTGTTTACTCCTACGAATCTGCTGTGCTGTTTACATCTTTTAAGGCATCTTATTTTGTTATCATCAACTCACAGTGTGGTTGTCAAACCTGATTTATCAGAGTCCTGTTCTGTGTGACCTTTAAAATACAGCATGTTATAGCAGCAAAATCTCTCTCTTTCCCCCCACCCCCACCCCAGTAACATCAAATGAATCAGTTGACACAGCCATGCCCTTCTGAATTTATGAGGCAATCGTGTAGCTATGAACAGCTCAGCGTTTACATTTCAGACATACAGTATATAAGATCATGCCTTTATTCAGTGGGCAGAAAACTAAATCTGCACGAAATGTGATAACTCTGTTGTTGCTTTTGTCTTGCATTTGGACCCATGTCTTCTGGATTATGGATGTCCTATACTTATTGGGGCAGCTGGTTCCCAACATGCCCCAAAATCTCCTTGCCACCCTTGAAAATAACAAGAAACAGTAAGTTGAGGGGTCCTTGGTGCTCTCTGAGCTTGGTTGTTTTCTTGCATACGGTCCATTACTGAAACTAGATAACTTCATCCGTGCTAGATGATGTACTTAGTCTGAGTAATGAAACGTCTGCAAGAATGTGGGGGAAATTGCACGCGCAGCAAACTGCCATGCTTCCCCCCCCCCCACAAACCTCATAACCTTTTGATACCCTTTGTCCCAGAGAAGCAGGCAGGTCATACCCTTTTGACTTAATGCCTTACCTACCTAAACAGATAATATGCTTAGTTCCTTCTCCTATCTCTTCCTGTTAGTTCCTTCTGTTTTCATCTCCCTGTATTTGTTCTTACCTGATCTTTGACCATGTAATGTGTTACTAGAAAATAGTTGCTTACATGAAGACATTTTCCAATGAAGAAACCTTTGTCAGCATTTAATGGTAAAGCCTATGTATGTAACAAGTATATAAGAAGCAATAAACTCAAGAGTTTGTCAAGCTGTGTCCTGCAGCTTCAAATCTCTGCTCAAGACATGCCTGCGTCTTATTCTTAGCGTCCTACACAAGAAAACAACCATGCTTGGAGATTAAGCAGTGGGGTACCACAAGGTTCTGTCTTAGGCCCAGTACGCTTCAATATCTTCATCAATGACCTAGATGAGAGAATTGAAGGGGAACTCATTAAATTTGCAGATGACACCAAACTGACAGGAGTAGCCAACACCCCAGAAGACAAACTCAGGATCCAAAAAGATCTGGACAAACTTGAACAATGGGCCCTATCCAACAAAATGAGTTTCAGTGTGGAGAAAAACAAAGTCTTACATTTAGGCAGGAAAAACCAAAGGTACAAGTACAGAGTGGGCGAGACCTGGCTTAAAAACAGCAACTGTGAGAGGGACCTTGGAGTCCTAGTGGACGATCACTTGACTATGAGCCGGCAGTGTGCATTAGCAGCCAAAAAAGCTAATACAATCCTGGGTTGTGCAAACAGAAGCATAGAATCAAGATCATGCAAAGTATTATTACCGCTTTGGTGACCAAACTTGGTTGCAGTATTCCAGGTCTGGTCTTACTAGGGTTTTATAAAGCAGTACTAATACTTCGCATGATCTAGTTCCAGCCTAGAAATAAGGAGAAATTGTCTGACAATGAATCAATTGAATACTTGTCTCCCAGAGTTCTGGATGCTCCATTACTGGAGGTTTTCAAGAATAGACTGGGCCACCATTTGACTGGGATGGTATACGTTCCCCTGCCTGGAGCAGGAGTTGGACTAGAAGACCTCTGAGGTCTTTCTAGCCCTGTGAAAAGGGGGCAAGGTCATGGGGATAAAGCAGGAAAAGCTCACATTAGGAGACCCTAAGAAAACTCAGCTTAAGCGAACCCTTAAACTCACTCTTCACTTGTGCTCATTGGATACAGCAGAAGCTCAAGTCTAAAAATCATTGTCACTGATCTATCTGAATTTGCCAGTTTTAATGGTGCACTTCCTTCTCTCTTTCTCTTCCCAAGCATGCTTTCTGTCCCAGTTGAACACTGCCAAGAAATCTGAATTTCATTCAATCCACCCCATTACCCTAACATTGCAAGAGTATATATATATATGAAAACATCTATAGAATAATAAGAATAATAACCACAGAAAGTCAAGTTTGGACTTCTGTCCAAGTATGCTTGCCTCCCAGTTGAGTCTCTTGTCGCTAATTTAGTCCTCTCTAAAGCATCAGAATAACAAAGTTGGAAGGGACCTTGGAGGTCTTCTAGTCCAACCCCCTGTCAGGCAGGAAGATTTATACCAATGGTTCTCAACCTGTGGGTCGGGACCCCATTTGGGATCGAACGACCATTTCACGGGGGTCGCCAAACAACGCAGTCCGCCCTTTTTTCCCCCTTTTCCTTAGCTGTGCTACTCCCTTTTATTCTATTAGCTTTTGAAAGCCAATAGAATAGACTCTCTTGAATAGAGTCTAATTCTATTGGCTTTCAAAAGCCAATAGGAATTGTCCAGGCTGTCTCGGCCCTGCTGAGCCCGCCAAAAGTCCCATTCTGCAAACGGTGCTGCACCAGTTGAGTAGTCCTCGACTTATGACCGGTTGGGGGTCACGGCATTAAAAAGGTTGAGAACCACTGCCTCATACCATTTCACACAAATGGTTGTCCAATCTCTTCCTAAAAATCTCCAGTGTTGAAGCACTCACAATCTCTGGAAACAATTTGTTCTACTGATCGATTGTTCTGTCAGGATTTTTTTCCCTAGTTCTAGATTGAATCTATCTTTAGTGATCTTCCATCCGTTGCTTCCTGTCCTGCCTGTAAGTGTTTTGGAGAAATAGTTGACCCCCTCTTCCTTGCGGCAGCCCCTCAGATACTGGAAGACTGCTATCATGTCACTCCCAGCCCTTCTTTTCTCTAGGCTAGACATACCCAATTCCTGCAACCGTTCTTCACGTGTTTTAGCCTCCAGGCCTCTAATCATCTTTGTTGCTCTTCTCTGCACTTTCTAGAGCAGTGGTTCTCAACCTTTTTAATGCCGCGACTCCCAACCGGTCGTAAGTCGAGGACTACTCAACCGGTCGTAAGTCAAGGACTACTCAACTGGTGCAGCACCGTTTGCAGAATGGGACTTTTGGCGGGCTCAGCAGGGCAGAGACAGCCTGGACAATTCCTATTGGCTTTGAAAGCCAATAGAATTAGACTCTATTCAAGAGAGTCTATTCTATTGGCTTTCAAAAGCCAATAGAATAAAAGGGAGTAGCACAGCTAAGGAAAAGGGGGGAAAAATGACGGACTGCGTTGTTTGGCAACCCCCGTGAAATGGTCGTTCGACCCCAAATGGGGTCCCGACCCACAGGTTGAGAACCACTGGGCTAGAGTGTCAACATCTTTTTTATATCATGGTGACCAAAACTGGATGCAGTATTCCAAGTGTGGCCTTACCAAGGCATTGTAAAGTGGTATTAATTTGTATCTTTTCCACTTTCGGTGAGCGTGTTAAACGGTCAACAATTGTTAGATGCTGAGGAAGGAGAGGCCTCCCCACCCAACTTGTGTCACCAGGAAGCTGTCTGAGGAATTACCTTCAAGGGGAAATGTGTTGTTGTCTTCATCAGAGAGACAAGAATGTGTGCCTGCAGACATTCAGCAGAAGTGTGAGGAGGATTTGCATGTGGAAACATTTCTGAACAGACTTTCCCAATAGTGCAGAAATACTTCCTGATAGGGATTCCTGGAAGTTGCTCTGTTGAAGACATCCATGTCACGAAATGTTTGGGGCTGAAGTATTTCTTTTTTTAAAAAAAAATATTTTTTATTGAATAACAAAAATTAAAAACATTGAACATGGTAAATCAAATTTGACATACATCACAATTCATATTCACAATTAACTACTAATATATGAAAAAAAACCTTTACAATAACATCACTCTAATCTCAATCTTAACTTATCTCATTACAATGACTTCCATATTTTTTCCCCCACCATCTATAAAATTTATTCCAAATTTGGTAAAAATCCGTTTCATCCTGATTTTTGAGTCTCTTAGTTAACCTATCTAATTCTGTGCAGTGCATAATTTTATGAATTAAATTTTCCTCACTAGGTATAGCCGTAGCTTTCCAATTTTGAGCGAATACAATTCTTGTCGCTGTAACCACGTGAGTGAAGTATTTCAAAGGGGCATTGGGTGCATCTGTTAGACTTTCTCTAAAATGTATTAACATCTTGTATATGTAGTTATCATCAGTGCTAGGCAAAAAGTCCAAAACAGCTCCTCACCAGCAATCAACACCCAGATAAGCATCAGTTAACACCAAGATTGATACTGGACCAACAGCCAAGCAGTAAACAATGCCCCATTCAAGGAAGTACCAACTCAGAGAATCAAATAATTAACAACAATCTAATCAAGGAACCAACAAAAACACTTCCTTTTTTTTGAGTAAAGTTGTTTAAGGACAGAAGAACATGAAACAGTGCAGGGTGTAGGTTTTTTTCAGTCTAAGGAGCTGGTAGAAGAGGCAGGACTTTCAGCAACTGGAAACCATCATGGACATCACTGTGTTATCAAAGACCCTGGATTGAATTTGGTCTCCAGGATTGTAAAAGGAGTTACACATGACATCTGTATAAGAATTACGCAATGTCCTGAACATTCTGCGGATTTCATTGTCTCGAAGTGCTGTATTGGAAGAATCCACCACCAGCACAAACTTGAGTTTGGAATTGGTCACGTAGCCATAGACCTTGTAGTCCTCGGTGGGGTAGAGGAGGCCAAGATAGAGGTCCTGCTCGTCCACCAGCGCCTTCCCCAGCGCCGAGACCTTCTCGTCCACCACGTCCAGCGAGGTGTGCACTATGTAGTGGAATTTCAGCGCGTTCTCGATGGGGAGGCCCTTGATGTAGAATGGGTAGTTCTCCTTGGTGATCACCGCAATGCACACCGCCATCTCGGCTCCGGGCAGGCGAGCTTCCTCTCTCCACCAAGAACACTTCCACCAATGCTGACAGGGAAAGCTACTATATATAAACACAGATGAAACTCCACACCCTTCTAGCCCTGATGAAGTTGCCTAGCTGGGTTATGAAATGTCGGCAAGAAAACAAGTAAAAACCCAGAGGCCACCAAGGATTCCACAATTCAACCCTGACATATAAATATTGCCTTGTATTTTATTTTTATTTTTCTCTCCTGATTATGTAAAAGTATCTATGGACCACAGAATGCTTCTGCTTGCAATTTTATCTTGGTATTGGATGTCATTTCTACTCTGCTTTCCTTGTGCAGTCATCAAGTTCCCCTCCCATCTGATTTTCCTTTCCTTCTCTCTCCTCCCCTCCCAGCTATTTCATTCCATCGCTCTTTCCAGCCCATTTTTAGACCTCACCTTGTCCTCATTCTTGTCACTGAGTAATCATTAGATTTCTTAATTTTTCCATTACACTGCGTTCCACAGACTATATTCACATCCATGCAAATTTCAGGGTTATCTAATGCTTACTGATTCCCCACCCCCACCCCTGGGCTGCCTAAAGTGCAGCTTTGGTTATGTTTGTACAAATATGGAGAAAAGTAAACCAGTTTTTAAAAAGGAGAATCCTGCCGTTGGATGCGATTAACGGATCTTTCAAACAAATCCGCCGAAACTAAAAAAGACGTATACGGTTTAATTGCATTGATTTAAAAGCTGCCTCGTGTATCTTTGCATTAGCATGAAAGTAAAAAGTACAATAAACTGCTCTGGTGGAGTAGATCTGCTCCTAAAAATATTGGCATTGGGCAGAGAAATTCTCTTGCAACTGTTTCCTACCAATTCTTTATTCCTCGTCTGCTGAATTCGAAACAGAATCTGCTTCTGAAATTTTGCTTTGCAGAGAGTCCCAAGGAGGGATGGGGTCAGTCATTCAGTCAAATGTCAGACAGCCTTGTCTGCATTTAAATTGCCCTCACAGAAATTATCCACCGATGTTTTTATATTTATTTGCTGATGAGGTCGCCAAGGAAAGGCAATATAGGAATATCCTACATTTTACTATATCCTAATTATTGTGTCCTGAGCTTGCAAGAGCTGAACGCAGGTTCAGAATGTGGCAATTGGTCCCGGGCATTCCAAAAGCTGCCCGGGACCAGACTGGGTGGCGCCAGGTTTGTGCCCATGCGCAAGGCGCGAAAATGCTCAATTTCTATTGGTTCACACTGTCCGGGTTTCTGGCCCTATGAAAGGCCTGCGTGCCTTTTGCTTTTTGCTTGGTTGTAGGAGAGAGAAATAAAGAGCTTGTGGTTTGTCACCATGTGTCTTCATCAATTGCCAACGAACGGAAAACACAACACTAATAAATTAAAAGACCCTCCCTACTTGCTTGGGATGGAGTCACTGAAGCAGTAGGTGTGAACTTAAATGGACTCCAGAAGATGGTAGAGGACAGGAAGACTTGGAGGAACGTTGTCCATGGAGTCGCGATGGGTCGGACACGACTTCACAATTAACAACAACAACAACTTGCTTGGACTGTATAGGACAGTGATGGCGAACCTTTTAGAGACCGAGTGCCCAGACTGCAACCCAAAACCCACTTACGTATCGTCGGGTGCTGGGTGGGTGTGGCCCATTGGGTAGGCGTGGCCCTTAGTGGTAACGGCAGACTGGGTGGGACTAAAAAGTTCAATCAATCAATTCCAACTTTGTGAGATCTTCCCCCCCCCCCGGAGAAGTTGAAATTGATTGATGGATTGAACTTTTTTTTTTTTTTTGCGCACGTTGGCAGAGGCCTAAAGCGAAAAGGTTTTATAAAATCCAGCTGAAAGCCTAGGACTAGGGCGACGGCGCGTGTGCCCACAGAGAGGGCTCTGCGTGCCACCATGTGTGTAGGAGATGTGGGGGAGATTTATACAGTACTTTCAGGCTTGCAAGATTCTGTCTATGTAATTTTACAATAAATTTAACTTCAAGTAAAATTAGCTCGTCTGATCGTGTTCTCTGTCTGGTCTGCCTAGTAAAGCTGACATTAGTCTTGCAAGTCCACTTTGCACCGGACTATCAAAAGCTGAAGGAAGCATGTCATAAATCACAGGTTATGAAGAAGACGTCCTGTAGCCAGCGTGCCTTTCACAAGGAAATAGTCTGAAGTTCATGCATCTTCTCTAAAACATGCCACCCGTGCCAATTTGCTGAAAGGGAAGGTCTTATAGGTTGATTTGAATGGACACTTGTGATATCGTCCCCACTTCTTTCTAAAACATTACTCCACCTGTAACAGGTTTCTGGATTTGTCCATGTTGAGACTCTAGAACAGTGGTTCTCAACCTTTTTAATGCCGTGACCCCCAACCGGTCGTAAGTCGAGGACTACTCAACCGGTCGTAAGTCAAAGACTACTCAACTGGTGCAGCACCGTTTGCAGAATGGGACTTTTGGCGGGCTCAGCAGGGCAGAGACAGCTGGACAATTCCTATTGGCTTTTGAAAGCCAATAGAATTAGACTTATTCAAGAGAATCTATTCTATTGGCTTTCAAAAGCCAATAGAATAAAAGGGAGTAGCACAGCTAAGGAAAAGGGGAAAAAATGGTGGACTGCATTGTTTGGCGACCCCCGTGAAATGGTCGTTCGACCCCAAATGGGGTCCCGACCCACAGGTTGAGAACCACTGCTCTAGAAAGAGTACAGAGAAGAACAACAAAGATGATTAGGGGACTGGAGGCTAAAGCATATAAGGAACGTTTGCTGGAATTGGGTATGTCTAGTTTAATGAAGAGAAGGACGAGGTGGGACATGATAGCATCGTTCCAATATCTCAGGGGCTGCCAAAAAGAAGAGGGAGTGAAGCTATTCTCCAAGGTGACTGAAGGCAGGAGAACAAGCAACGGATGAAAACTAATCAGGGAGAGAAGCAACCTAGAACTAAGGAGAAATTTCCTGACAGAACAATTAACCAGTTAATCAACAATTAAACAGCTTCTCCTTATCCACAAGGGTGTCCACAGGCGGTAATAAAAATCAAGATGGGTGACCAGAAATATGTGCTCAAACCTTCTCCTCTTTTGAATAAAAGACTATTTCTATTCTCCCCCCCCGCCACACACACAATGTACACACTTTCCTTTAACTCAGCCTTAAGTTTACTTTCAATCAATAGATTTAGAATTTGTTGGTTAGTGGAGAATACCCTAAACTAATATTTCTTCTTTGCACATGTCTCTGAATCATCACCAGCTGTATTTAGGACACTATCCACAAGAGCATCCTTGAATATATTCAAATATTGTGGTGATTCTTAGCAACAAAGGAGCTTTCACATCCTGTCATACTAAAAAAAGAACACACTGAATGGAAGGGCTTTGGGAAAACAATTTCTAAAGTGTTCAAATAGGATTGTCAGCTGCTACGCTCCGGAGGATTAAGATGGTGTCTCTCTTGTACAAATGAAGGGTGGTGACCTCAAGCACTTTCAGATTGGTTATCCCTGGAAAGGAGCACCCCCAAAACCATGAAGAACTGTTCAGAAAACTGAAGATGTTAGAAGACTGCTGCTGGATCAAACCAATAGGCAATCTTGTTTTGTATTCTTTGTCATGCAAAGGACTCACAAAGTTTGTAAATATGAATGGGATGGCAAAAATTGGTACCCATGGTCAGCTATACATGAGATAACAAAGCATCATCAAGGCTATTATATGTGGGTAGACCAATCCTCCAAGAATCTGTAGAATTCATTCTCAATTCCATATGGAATGGAATGGAATAAGAATAGAATAGAATAGAATAGAATAGAATAGAATAGAATAGAATAGAATAGAATAGAATAGAATAGAATAGAGTAGAGTAGAGTAGGGTAGAGTAGGGTAGAGTAGAGCAGAATAGACTCTGTGAGTCAAGAATTGGTGACTGATTCACTTTGCAAGTTTAGTCTCTAATGTATGTCCTATTTGCAAGGGGGAACTTGTCCAGTCAATTTCTTGAGGGGAGTAGTAACCCACTTGCAACAGATACAACGAAGAGCAACGGAAGAGAGAGGAGTTTATACAATTAGAGACCCATCCTGGAAAAAGCATTGGTCAGAAGTTTAACCTGATTCCAAATCAGACACTGTAGCGATGTCTTTGTAAGTTAGTGAGATCCTATCAATCAGGAATAGGCACAGTGTGCTTGTCTGAAGCCACACAACTGAAAAAAAAAATCAAAGGAACTTCTTCTGTAATTATTACATTCTTTTATCAAATACAGCAGGATCTTTTGAAAGCCTGTTGAAAGTGGGCAAGTTCAGAATGGAACTAAGTGAACCATTTTGAAACTTTATGTGGTATTAAAATCATGTTAATCTCCTGATCAGCTTTGATCATACCCTTTCGTAAATTTGCATTATGCAATATTAACTGAAATATTCCTAATGCATTATAAAACAGTACATATTAACACTGCTAGTCAGGAGGCACATATTAATCATCAATGGTTTTTAGAGGAAGTTGGAAAGAACATTCAGCAATCTTTGATAATTAATCTGAGTATAATTTTATCGATCGTTTCCCTCATTGTCTTATAAAACAATGAAATATGAGAAATTAATTTTTGGTGGTGATGTATGTCAGTTTTCAGATTTATTAGCAGCAAAATATTGGGGAAATGGACTGTAGGTTTCTTTAGATCAATAGTATTTAAAAGTATGAGAAAGATCATTGATGAAAAGTCACCTGAAAAGCAGAACTTTGCAGAATCCTTTATCAAGGCTTGTTTTGTTCATATTTGTTTTTGTTTGTTTTTTTAGCCATACTAGCAAAGCAGTACTTCAGAGTCAAACACATCCATGCTGTGTGGAATGATGAACTAAAAAGATGGACTGAGTGTTTTCTAGTGGGTGCGCAGGTTAAAGATGAAACTAAGTATGGCCCAAGAAATACAAAGATCTAATTCAATTAGAGCTTAAATATGCACAGACAAAACCTTCTGACCATTTACGACAATGAATTATTGGTAACAAAATCATCCTACTATTTCTAACTTAATCT